TCTCCTGTTCCTGGGATTCAAACAATTACAATTTATTGGTGTTTTACAATAAAGCAGTAAATGCCGGGAACCACATTGGAATGACACTCAGCTGGAAATTCCGGCTCTCCAGACGGGATCTCCCCCATTGGTCCGGCCTCGAGCCGGAGGTTCAGTGTAATGAGCCACTGTAGCCGCCAGACAGCACAATCAGCACCAGCACCGCAACAGCTCGTCTGGATTAACATCATTCAGAGCATCAGAGGAACCTGACACCCAATGTGTGGGAGCAAAACGTGAGCCATCTGTGTAAAGCTCATCGCCAGCTCGTCTCTGTGCTCGTGTTGGGAGAATCTGACTTGCCATCCAGTGTGTGACTCACACGCTCTGAGACAGGGATATATATCGCTGATATCTTTCTCTCCAGCAATGCCCAGTCTCACAGTCGGGGCTGTGCTCAGAATCTCACTGAAATCTCCCAAATCACTTTTATATCTATAAACAGGTGCCATGTTGTTCCCCAGTGAGCGGCCGCGTCTCACTGTGTATAAACACTGTGTATTTTCAGTGACAGATTTTATAATCCGTAACATTTTTCACTCACTGTAACAATCTTTAACCTTCAATAAACCGAGGTCAACTGGATATTAATATCCAAAATATTGTCGTTCACTTACAAAATACTCGATCAATTTACAATAAATTTGTTTTGTTATTATTTTATATCCAATGATTGAACACAATCTACACACACTCCTCACCCTCTGATACACACACACCCAACCCTCACCCCCTGATACACACACACACCCCTAACCCTCACCCCCTGATACACACACCCTAACCCTCACCCCGATACACACACACCCCTGACCCTCACCCCCTGACACACACACCCTGACCCTCACCCCTGACACACACCCTGACCCTCACCCCACACACACCCTAACCCTCACCCCTGACACACACACCCTCCCTCACCCCTGACACACACACCCCTAACCCTCACCCCGACACACACACCCGACCCTTGCCCCCTGATAAACACACACACCCCTAACCCTCACCCACACACACCCCTAACCCTCACCCCTGACCCTCACCCGACACACACCCCTGACCCTCACCCCCTGACCCACCCCTGACCCACCACCCCTGACCCTCACCCCGACCCACCCCTGACCCTCACCCCCTGACCCTCACCCCCTGACCCTCACCCCCCGGGGCTCATGGCCACACGGCCGCCGAGTTGGGAATGTCGGTGTTGGTGTAGAAAACCCCTTTGATGTGAAGCTGTTGATAGTCACAGAGAATAATAATGTATTTGATGTCATTATATTATACAATAAGTGATTGGATCTTCAATGAAAGGATTTCCCACTGAATATGTAATGTATATAACAGTATATGTGCCATTGCTGTTGACTATAGTGACTTTATACCATATTCTCACCAGTTGGGGCGGAGGTGTCAGAGGGACTGTCGCTCGAGCGCGTTTCTGCCCTTCGGCGCTTCTGGAATGTTCCCGCCCTCCCCCCGCGCATGCGCACCTTCCCGAGTCTGGTCCCCGGCGGGAAAGCGCGGGAGCGCGGGACCGAGTGACGGTTGGAGACGGGACACAGCGCGCACGCGCGGGAAGGCGGGGCCGCGCGAGACGGAGAGCGGCGGGAACAGTGCGCATGTGCCGACACCACGTGACAGCGCTTTGGGCGTCAGGACCCGAGAAGAGCGCGAGAGTCGGTAAGTGAGGAGCGGAGGACCGACCCCGCGCTCCCCCCCGGACCCCAACACACACACACACACAGTGACCGCACACCGACACCACACACTCCACACACCGGTGGGAGCCGCTGAAGGCGGGAAACTGGGCAGAGAAGCCGCACAAAGGCTGTGACAGGACAGCGGAGCCGTCACCGCCCCTCACACAGACTGACACACACAGCGGGAACGGGAGGCAGTGGCTCCGGACACGGCTCTGGGCCTGAGAGCCGCGGTCTGACCACCTGCCACAGGCGGGAAGTGTGTGAAGGGACACAGTGGCCGCCACACACAGCGGGTCCTGGGGGTCACTGGTTTACCGCACACACCACACAAGTGCGGGAAGGGCGGACAGTGCTCGAGGAGCGAGTCCCGGCAGCTGCTGTCTTACCTCCCGCAGGAAGAGCTTCACACGAGGAGGAGGAGATGGCGTCGGTTATCTGTGGTGACGATTGGATGTCAATAGCGTTTGGAGTTGATTTGGGTTTGAGTTATAAAAGGAAATGCTGTTGAACAGTGAACAGATAGAGAGACGATGCGGACACGTTTACGCCACAGAATTCGATAGAATTCAATACAATATAAATAGTATAATTTAAGTGTATCGCTGAAGCTGAAAGAGCCGTTGAAAGAGAAAGGAAACTGTTGTGAATCGGGACAAGAAAGTTGCACAAGAAAGTTTGTAAATGTATATTATTAAACAAACAAGAAATATTTTAAAAAGAGTGGTTTGAGGTCCTCTGTCCGTCTGGAAACAAAACCCTTCGGCTCTGCTTTTGCCCATCTCTCCCCTCCCCACCCCCTCAGCTCCCATTCCCCCCTCAGGTGCCCATCAGCTCTGTGAAGCGCTTTGAGCCATCATCTCGACATGAGGCGCTGTGTCAATATAAACTGTACTGTCACATCCCAAACTGGTCTCAGTGACTGTGAGGCTGAGAGCAGCTGAACTCACGGACTTGTTTTAAACCAGAAATATATTTCTTTGTTGATAGAATATATATTTACACTTTCCTCAAAAAGAAACAAATGCCATAAGAGAATGAAGAAACACAACACGTTATTTTACCATTACGGGACGTGACAGCCCCGACCCCTTGTGGTGGGGGGTTGGGGGGGAGGGGCTGCCATTGCGCACTCCACTTTGGTGGAGGGACCAAGGCTTCCCCTCCCCCCCCCCCCCCCGGGGATCTGCTGCCCGTTGCGGGATGTGCTCACATTTCTTGGGGGGAACGCTCCCATTAAGCACAGTCGGGAAACGCCCCGTGTGCACCACAGACATGTGTGACTGCACACACCCTGATAAGGGGCACTTCCATTTACAGATGTCACCCCAATGTGCACCGTAAACACATATAATTACACTAACAAAACACCCCGAGACATCGAACACAAACCATACACTGCAATAAACACACAACCAGTGAACCCCCTGTCACTGTGTGAGGTTAGTGACTGAGCTCAGTCACTGTGTGAGGTTAGTGACTGAGCTCAGTCACTGTGTGAGATTAGTGACTGAGCTCAGTCACTGTGTGAGGTTAGTGACTGAGCTCAGTCACTGTGTGAGGTTAGTGACTGAGCTCAGTCACTGTGTGAGGTTAGTGACTGAGCTCAGTCACTGTGTGAGGTTAGTGACTGAGCTCAGTCGCTGTGTGAGGTTAGTGACTGAGCTCAGTCGCTGTGTGAGGTTAGTGACTGAGCTCAGTCGCTGTGTGAGGTTAGTAACTGAGCTCAGTCACAGGATTAGCCTCTGGACATCGCCATCCCGGACACAGGTTTAATTTACTGTTAATAGTGAAGATTCTTCTCTTTCAATGCAAAACCTAAACAGGTCAGTGTCGGAAATTGTTTTCTGAAATGAACTATTATTTTACCATTAAAATAACGCCTTAACTTTACTGTGATACCAGTTACAGGATTCACTGGTTTCACTTTCACATGTGGTGATGTGGAGTTTAGATATGAAATAAATATTCTCTATCGTCAGGTTTGTGTCAGTAGTAAAGCGGGAGCTCTGCAGTTAGTTTATTCCCAGTTTGTGGTTTAAACGCTGAGAATTGGAGGTAAGTGAGGAGGGAAGGGAATGGGAGCTCCTCTCTGACCTGCACCATGTTGGGGTGAATAAGGAGCGGCTGTGAGGAGGGGGAGGGGAGGGGCACATTACAGCAGTTACACATAACATGTTTCTTCCCCAGTCTGATTGCTGTCAGGTCACTGGTGTTTACAGTGTTTCCTGTGAAGCGCTTTGAGACGTCCCTGGATGTAGAAGGTGCTGTATTAGATGTCAGGATTATTATTCTCCGAGGTCACCTTGACAAGGGCTGAGGGTTGAAGCTCAGACAAACAGACGGAGACTCTGTGTGAGTTTGGTGCCTGAACCAGCAAAACGTTCTACTGTTTCGAGTTAAAAGCAAATCAGTGTCAGAAATTGTTTCCCGATATGGAAAGTTTATTGTGATTAAAAATAATCATTTTATTTTTACTGTTATCCCACTGACTTGGTTTAGCCGAAACTACAAGAGCAACTTATATATCGCCCTCCATGCAGAGCAGCGTCTCAGAGCGCTTAACAGTGGTGATGCCTGACTCTAAGCTGGGGTGAGGGGTGATGTAGCTGTCAGCACTCTTGTCCCTGAAAAAAAACAGCCCCGATCCACCCGCTCCACTATTGGCGGGAGAGCCTTGAGTCGCTCTGCCTCCAACTTCTGGAATTCCATCCTCCAGTTACTCTGCTTCACCCCCTCCTTAGCCTCTTCAAGTCCTGCCTCAAGACCCTCCTCTTCGACTATGCCAACGGCCACCCCCTTCCCCTCCCCTCCCTTCTCCGCCCCCAACCTCAGCTCAGGTCTGAAATGCTGTACATTGTCCAGCGCCTTAAGACATCGTCCCGACGTGAAAGGCGCTGTACAAATGTAATCTTGTTTTTGTTGAATCAAAGGGTTGCGGGTTCAAGTCCCACGTTAGGACTTTGACCTCACAGTTTAGGCTGATACTCCCCCTCGCAGTATATGCTGTGGGAACATAGCATTGTTGGAGGTGATGTCCTTTGGATGTGAGGTTAAGCTGAGGTGCTGTCTGCCTGTCATGTGGATGTCAAAGATCCAAATTGCTGTTGTTGTCCCACCTGTTTCAGGCAATTACGTTATTCCCCAATTTTGGAAGAACACTTTGTTCAAATGCTGATCTGGATTGTGACACAGATCTGGTGTTATTGTGTGTTATTAATTTATTATGAATTGTCTGTTGATTTCCTCGTGTTTCATTGCTCGATGTCCTGACAGATGATGGAGAAGATTTTCATTGTGATTTTCCTGTTTGAGATTCCGGCTTCACTTTCTGGTGAGCAACACAGTCATTTTCTGCCTAATCACTTTCACATTAACATTGCTCTTTATTACAGAGGCAACTAAAAGATTAGCTCACTTGTCAAAGTAGAGAATAGTTTTGTTTCTGATAAAGAATCCACTCACTGTAACTGGAAGCTGGAGCTTGTAATCACTGCAGCTGAACCTGCCCCAGAAATGTATTGCTTTTATCAACTTCCCTCAGTCTATCAGCCCATAACTGTGGCTGAAAGGTCCTCACCAAACCTGGTCTATTCCCAGCTTCTCCTGATCACCTCCCGTTGTTCAGTGGTGAACAACTGTATCTCATTTGTGAGAGAAAAGATAATTCCTGACTGTGTTAATGAGCTGAACGAGAGGAAATTCTGGCTGTGTTTACTCTGGAGCCGTATTTCAAACTATATTTGCAAAGGTTGTGAGCTGTCCGTGTTCACAGAACTGAACTCCGAGAGTAAATGTATCAGGTGAAGCTGAGATGGGAAGATGGGAGGTGAGTATTCTGGGAAGATGAGGTCAAATGGGCTGAAGGACTTTCTTCATCTGAACCTCTCTTGTGATCGGGTGAAATGTGTCCACTGATGAGGATATAAACTGGTGATATACATTCACCTGTTAAATGATAACATTGCTGCACATTTCCAAATAACATATATTTCTGTAATAAGACATTTCATAGAATCGTAGAATCGTACAGCACAAAAAGAGGTCATTTGACCCATTGAGTCTGTGCGGCTCTTTGAATCGAGTAATGTAAGGTCAATCTCACACCCCAGCCCTTTCCCCATAACCCTGCAAACCTGTCCTCCTCAAATACCTATCCACCGCGTTTTTAAAAGTTGTTTTCGAAGTTTCTGTGCAGACTCAGGTTAGTTCATATCTCAGACTTTCAGGGCTTCCGGAAACCAGACCTGTAAACCCGTCAGTGACAGTGACACAAATAAACTATTGCAACTCATAGTTTCACATTTAAATAGAAACAAATCATAATAATAGTTCAATAATTGATAGTGTATGGTTCAATAGATTCTTTTATAGTTAATGGTCCACGTCAGCCTGTCCTCACAGCTCTGGGGAACGATGTCACTCTGGGATGTTGGTTAACACCAGGAGTGGCTGCAGATATGATGGACGTGGAATGGAGTAAATCTGATTCTGGGGATGTGGTGCATTTATATACAAGTGGAGAGGATCAACCTGATGAACAACATGAAGCCTACAGAGGAAGAACCGAGCTCATTAGAGACGGGGTGACTCGAGGAAACGTGTCTCTCAGACTGAAGAACATGAGGTGCTCAGACCAAGGAGAATACACATGTTTTGTGAAATCAAGAACAGATTCTGATGAAACAACAGTGGTTGTGAAAGTTGAAGGTTTGTTGTGTTTAACCTGTACATTTCCCTATTCTAAGCTCATATTCCCACCCCGTCCCAGTCAATATATTTGCCAACCTCCGAAATTCACCATAATCTCTACCAGAGCCCCGTGTGAACTGCACAAAGTAATGATTTGTCATTCTGGCTCAATGTGGGCAATTGGCTGCTGCGTTTCACCCATGAAATGCGCAGTCAATTCACTGTACAGTGTATTCTGTGAAGGGCTTTGAAACATCTCAAAAATGTGATAAGGCTCTATATCAAGTGAAGGATTGGAAGGACTCTTGTTGTTTGGTTTAGAGTATTGTGGGTTGAAGCCCCACATCAGCACCTGAGCTCATAGTTCAGGCTGATACCACACTCTGTCACTGAAGAACACTCAGTGTTAGAGGCTGACGTTTGGTGAGAAGGTAGTGTCCTGCAGATTAATTGGCCATTCACTTGACTGTAACCTTAACCTTCAAAACCTTAACCCTCGTAACCTTAACCTTAACCTTTGTGGAGGCCTGTAGCTCAGTGCTTGTGGAGGCCTGTAGCTCAGTGGTTAGAGCACTCACTTTGCAAGCGAGAGACCTGAGTTCAATTCCAGGTCAGGGCGAAACCTTGGGCAAGTTTCCTTACTCCACACAGAGCCTAATAATAATCCCTCCAAAAACCAAAAACAATAATAAAATTGGTCATTTTCAATCTACGACTATTTGTGGGACATTGCTGTGCGCAATTGGCTGCTGCGTTCGCCCACAAATATGCAGTCAATTCACTTTACAGTGTGTTCTGTGAAGCGCTTTGGGACGTCCTCCCGACGTGAAAAGCGCTATATCAAATGCAAGGATTATTATTATTATTATTATTAAACAGTCACTACAGATGAGTAATGAGGTGTAAAGTACTGAATGTTTTGATTTGATTAGTTGTTACAAAAGTTCCTTCTTTGTAATTGTTGATAACACAACGTATTATTGTTACAGACCGCAGACGGCTGCCCTTGATTTCCATGGCAGGTTACCAGGACTCGAGACTTAAACTCACCTGTAAATCAAAAGGCTGGTATCCCGAACCTCGTGTGGTTTGGTTTGATAGGAGTGGAGCAGAGGTGAAAGCCAAGACTGAAACATGCACTCAGGGGTCTGAAGACTGTTGGAAATGTGAAAGTAGCATTGATATAACCAGAGATTCTACAGACAGATTCACGTGTCTGACAAGAAACTTTCTGGAGGAAAAGGAGGTGAAGATCCAGGTATCAGGTCAGTGAAACATTTGGAAAAATATAAACACTTCAGTGCAACGTATTACAGTTCATATTGTGATGTGCAATAATCCACAGCAGCTCCCAATGTTCAATCTGAGGCTTTCATTCTGATTTTCTTTCAGCCACTTTCATCATAGGATAGTTTGCTATTGTAATTGCAAATAATGAATTACACAACAACAACAACAAGATTACATGTCTATAGCGCCTTTCACGTCGGGAGGACGTCCCAAGGCACTGGACAGTGACAGCATTTCATGTATTATTGAAATACATGAATTTAGTGTGTGTGGCTCTTCGCTGATAGTGTTTCCAGTCAGTTGTGGAGTCCTGTAGCTCAGCGGTTAGAGCCTCGCAAGCGAGAGACCTGGGTTCGATTGTCGGAGATGCTGTCCTTCAGATGAGATGTTGAACCGAGGACTTGTCTGTTCCTATTCAGGTGGATTTTAAAGATCCTCTGACACTTTTTATGAAGAGAAGGAAGTTTCTCCGGGTATTGTTAGATCCGCGAATTATGTGTCTGTATTTGGAGAGAAAAAATCTGATACAAGTAAACTTAAGAAACAAAGAATAGGTTTTTATTTCTACTTGTATACAGGAGCACACAATTGTTCCCGTATACAAATAGGATCTAATGTCTCCCTGTCAGACAAAAGATCCTCTTCTTCGGTACAGTTAAGTTTTATACAGGAGTACACAAAAATACACAGAAGAGATGTTTTTCCTTACAGACCAATCAGGTTTGCTGCATGTTTTCCCACACTTCTTGCTTCAGCTAGTTTCAACTGTACTAATCTTGCAGTTTTGCTAGAAGGCCATTTCTATGTTATCACCCGCCGTTCCTTACACTGTGGCCTTCAGATAACGGAATTCAACATTAACAAGTCTAACCTACTTACTTATATCTGCTTAAAGGCGTTTACACAGCAATAGGCCAGGGCACAAGCTACGATATACAATTAAACATACCATAACATCTTTTTCCTCTTATCATTCCCTCCTTTTTATGGTATTTTAAACTGAAATTTATGTCCTTTTTCTTTGCATTACATGCAACCTTTAAGCATAACATCAGTAGTCCGATCCTTCTGCAATTACTGGTTTTCGATCAGACACATCACAGGTGCTTATAGTTTACTCATTCTGCAGAAAAAGTTTTCCCAGGTGCATATCATGCAATCCTCCAGTGCCTTCTTCAAGCAAGCTAAGGTTGTCCTCACTAGTCATCATAAATGTGGTGGCAGGAATCATCTCAGAAATAGTACCCCGAATAAGGGGAATAATACAACAGCAGCACAGCTTGAGAACAACTATTACTATTAACAGGTACATACCTAATTTCCATAGCTAAGCTCCCCATCCCCATTGAGAAAGCCACTTACTAAGCCAATCACAGGGTCTCTGAGGTTCCTTGATGGCAGACCGCATGTGAGAGATGACATTTGTCAAATTTTGATGGCCATCAGGAATAAAGAAACCGCAACTGGTCCCGAGCATTTTGCAAACACCTCCTTTCTCAGCCATAAGCATGTCTATTATCAGACGATATTGTATGATTGCCTTGCGCATGGCTCCCATTTCCCCATCTATGATCCCAACTGCTTCTACCGTCTCATTAGCCAGGGCATGTAACTGAGTCGCTAACCCATTCATTTTCAAGGCACCAGCAGTGCCCACATTAGCCCAGAAGGACCATCCTACCATTTCCCCTTGAGTGGTCCATGGATCCATGGTTGTATATCCATGGTAACTGCCTGTGACGGAGGAACGTTTGACTCGATTATTGGCCTGGCGTTTGGAACGGGTGTCATGCTCAGCTTCCAGGGGATACACCGCAATACCAGTTGTCACAATGGCCGGGTAACAACATCCAGTCCACTGGTTGGGGAGCTGGAGATAAGCAGTCCGTCCGCAAACCCAAACCATTGCCCCCCACCAGGGTTTCCCAGTGTGGAATTGCAGGCCCCTATCCCCATAGTAATGTTATATTTTTTAATGGTGCATACCTGAGAGGTGAAGTTGGCAATTACTCGTATACTGCAGATACTGTGGCCCACAAGTAACCCCTTGTCCATGTTGGTGCATAGACATGGCTTGCCCTCCTTGTATGGCACCTGATACGTGGGGCTGAATCCGGCAATACTATGGGTCTCCAGGCCTGTGGGGCAGTGAGATTATCTCCCGTGGCCTTGTTTTGAGCCAATAACAGCAGTTGAGCCATGTTGTTAGGGATGGTTCCCCCTTTATGTGTAATATTCACGTGCTTTACGGTGGACAGGGGAACAACGTGCAGGCGGGAACTCATTTGCTGACAAATCCAGCAGTGTTTTGTTTCGAGGCTTCCTGCCTGGAGTATCAAAAGTGCGCAAGCATGATTATCATTGCAAATGCTCAGGGCCCGAGTGGCCGATTGAATTTTTTGTTTGGTTAATATCCAATCATCCTCCTCCCCAGAGACTGCCATTTCCTCAATCAATTCTTCCTCCTCAGAGGTGGGAACTTTTGTGACTTCTGTAATTTTTGATTGTTGGGATTTGAGGACATTGATTACAANTTTTTGGTATAAATCCCCATAAGGTCTTTCTGTACCACACCACCAGGTGCCTGCATCCGAATCAGACAGCTGTGTTATCTGAACTCTTGCCCCATCACTGTTTTGTATCTTTGAAATTGAGAACCGAGACCCAGTCGAGTGGCCTCGGCGTGTATTGGCCACTACCGAGTGCCAATTGTAGGGGCCACACGGATGTTTGCAGAAATACTTTTCATCACGCTGGTGGCGGAAGTGAGCTTTAGTTTTACCTGAATCCTTGTAGGGCCAAGGATTGCAGTCAAAGGAGATGGTGCTCCCTTTTTCCCCTGAGACATGCTTATCTTCGTTTGCTAGGACAAGGCTTCCCACTACTGTTACTAATAATAATGTAAACATGGCGGGAATTGGGCAGTTACCTGATACCCGCAGTGTTTTCTTTAGTCTTCACTGGGTTGAGGTGAGCGTATCCTGGTGCATACACCCCCCTTTGTAACCAGACTTTAACACTTACGTGGTATTTTCCTGTCCAATTCCCTCTGTTACCTTTTTACAATGTGTCAAATGTATCCAAGTAGTTCTTTCTACAATTTTAACAGCGGTGGTGGGAGTAGTCAGGAGGACTTGAAACGGTCCCTTCCATTTAGGGTGATGCCAGGTCTTTCTTTTTACGTCTTTAATCAGGATCCAGTCTCCCGGTTGCAGCGAGGGGACCAACGATGTCTCGGTGATAGTCTGAGGGGGTAGAATATTAAGCATTTCTTTTTTATTAGATAGCATGTTTCGCATGTAGTCGGCTGGACATGCGTCCTTTAACTGCCCCTCGTTGTCTCCCAACTGGGGAATGCGATAGGCTTTTCCCTGTACTATCTCGAATGGTGATAGTGGTTTATTCCCTCGGACAATGCGCATGCTAGTAAGTGCCAATGGCAGGCAGGCTACCCATCCCTTGCCTGTTTCCTGCATTGCCTTTTTTAATTTATTCTTAAGTGTACCGTTATGTCTCTCCACTAATCCGGCCGATTGAGGGTGGTAAGCGCAGTGCTTTTTCAGTTTTATGCCTAATTGTTTTCCGACGTGATCAAGGACTGCATTTCGAAACTCGGGTCCATTATCACTATATAGGACTTGAGGTATTCCCCACCTCGGTATTATCTCGGGGCATAATATTTTTGTTACCGTTAGTGCGTCTATTTTTGCGGTGGGGAATGCCTCCACCCACCCTGAGAATGGGCATATCATTACCAAACAATGCTGCTTTCCCTCACTTGGCGTCAAGTGAATGAAATCCATCATCCAATGAGCAAATGGCTCTGAGTGGGGGGTATTTGTCCTTTTGGGCACTTTACTCCTCCCTGTGGGTTGTTTTGTAGACATGTAAGGCACTTTTTACAAAATTTTTTTGTATAGGATGAGAATCCGAAGGTTGTATATCTACCATTTATCATCGATACCATCCCCCCTTTTTAGACATGACATTTATCATGGCTCAATTCCGCCGCAATAGGGAAAAGTGCTTTGTTTACTGCTTGGATGTCCTGTACCAATCGCCATCCGACGGGGAGAGGGACCTTCTTTACTGGAAAGAGTGGGGTGTTACAAGGGGAATCAGGACACGGAACAATGACCCCTTTTTCTTTTAATTCTTCAATAATGGGTTTAATTCCTTCACGTGCTTCCGGCGAGATGGGATACTGTCTTTGGTATGGTCTGAAGGTGCTTTTAGGGTTAATTTTAATGGGCTCTACTCCCTGCATTAACCCAACATCCGCCGGACCCTGTGACCACAAAGATTCTGGGATTTGGTTTAACGCTTTTTCCAAATCTGCACTGAGCCCGATTAGTCACGGTCTCGCAGGGGGTCCTCTCATGAATCTTGCCCGTATACAATGAGCCACCCAATTCAGTTGTCTGGAGAATACTTTTCCCTTTTCTGAATACCAGATACCTGGTTTTCCTGTCTCCTTCCAATCAGTCAGCCTCTCTGATTCCTTTTTCTTTTTAGCGTTTCCTTCTTGACTGAGTCGTTTACGATACTCATAAGTGCCAGACTTGGGCTTCAGAATAATAGTATTTTCTCATTTTTTTGCTATCATCACCACATTTTTGTTTCAATTTATCTAATAATTCTTTAGTACTTTCGGGCTTCAATTTACCATCAAATCAAAACTTCTTTCTCCACATGAATTCTGGTTTCCCGCTCCCCGTAACTACGGCCTCCATACGTCAGCCATTAGGAGACAATTCCACTTCCTCTACTCGCTTACAACACGTACAACAACCCCCTTTACTATTTCCATTGCCCATGTTTAATTGTATTTGACTTATCTCAATCAGACACTTGTTATTCGCATATATATATATTTGTTTCGGGTAGTCCCGTCACTCACCCACTCTCCCGGTTTACCCCCAGACCGGCTCCACAACTCATCCCACTTGTCTGTCGAGGACGACTTTCTCTCAGGGGGATCCTCACCGATTTGAGGCTGTAGAGTGTGCGAGCAAATTATCCCAGATAATTCTTGTATACGGCCTTCCGATCCTTCTCGATCAAGGTCCGCCCAGCAGCGGGTTGTCCCGGACAACTCACGCATACAACTACTGGTCTGGTGGGTTTACCGTAAAGTGCGATGAGATGTTGGGATCCCGGACGAGCCCCCAATTGTTAGATCCGCGAATTATGTGTCTGTATTTGGAGAGAAAAAATCTGATACAAGTAAACTTAAGAAACAAAGAATGGGTTTTTATTTCTACTTGTATACAGGAGCACACAATTGTTCCCGTATACAAATAGGATCTAATGTCTCCGTCAGACAAAAGATCCTTTTCTTCGGTACAATTAAGTTTTATACAGGAGTACACAAAATACACAGAAGGGGTGTTTTTTCTTACAGACCAATCAGGTTTGCTGCATGTTTTCCCACACTTCTTGCTTCAGCTAGTTTCAACTGTACTAATCTTGCAGTTTTACTAGAAGGCCATTTCTATGTTATCACCCGCCGTTCCTTACACTGTGGCCTTCAGATAACGGAATTCTACAATAACAAGTCTAACCTACTTACTTATATCTGCTTAAAGGCATTTACACAGCAATAGGCCAGGGCACAAGCTACGATATACAATTAAACATACCATAACATCTTTTTTCTCTATCAGTATCCTGGCCAACAATCCTACAGATAAATTGGTCATTCACTGCATAACTGTTTGTGGACATTGTGTGCGCAAATTTGCTGCCGTTTTTGCATACAAATAAGCAGTCACTACATATCACTGTAACCCCTGTGAAGGGCTTTGAGACTTCATGCAAATGTGATAAGGTTCTATATCAAATGAAAGAATGATAGGATTATTATTAAATATGATACAAAATGTTCTTTATGTTACAGAGGTGTTTCTCCACCGAGGCCCAGACTGGCTGGTGGCTTTCCTTGTGGCGTTCAGCCTTGTGCTTGGAGCAGCTGGTGTGTTGATGTTCTTCTGCAGAAAACGATTGAAAAAAGTTAAAGGTAATAAATGATTTTGAGATTCCCCCAAAACATAATCTTTACTTTCATCCTTTATATAATCCATAACATAGTGACGAGAGCACTGGCAATGTCTGAGCGGCAGTGACGAAGGTGAGAGTGAGTGTCTCGAGGTGTTGGGTGTGAGGTACTGGCGGAGGCGGGTGATATGGTGGGGGTGAATGAAGGTGGTTTTGATGAGGCAATGAATGTGAGGGAGAAAGGAAAGCTGGGGATCAAACCAGATCCCATGATTGTCACTGAGAGAATTAGAGAGAGGGGCAGGGAAGCTTGTGGAGGTCAGAGCCAGAAGGGGATGGCTTCAGTCTTATCTAAACAAACAAATTGAGATGGATCTTGAAGGAGGCATGAGAGGGGGTGAGGTGGGATGGAGTTCCAGAGGGGGGAGCAGAGAGGCTGAAGGCTTGCCCACCAGTGTTGGGGTGGGCAAAGCGGGGAACATGAAGCAGGCCGGAGGACGCTGAATGGAGGGAGCGGACAGGTTGTTATGAGGTTAGAAGGTCTCAGAGGTAGGGAGTAGCAAAGCCGAGGAGGTGAAGTAAGGATCAGGAGCTTGAACTATATCCTCTGAGTCATATCCTCAGTGATCCTGAGCCGGGCGATTATGAGGGTGATAGTGTCGCGGTGCCTGGTGCAGGAGAGGACACGGGCTACAGATTTCTGGATAATCTGCAGCCTGTGGAGGGAGGAGTTGGGGAGGCCGACAAGCAGGGAGTTTGTGTAGTTCAGCCTGGATGTGATGAACGCGTGGATGAGGGTCTCGGTGGCCTCGGGTGAGAGAAGTGGCAGAGCCGGGCAATGTTGCAGAGGTGGGGAAAGGCAAAGCGGGTCATGGCATGGATATGGGGGATGAATGACTGTTGTGGGTTGAACAGGACACTGAGGTTCCTCATTGGCTCCTTGATGTGTAGAGTGCAGCCATGAAGGGCAATGCTGTCAGCGCCCGAGTTATGGAGGCGCTGATGGGAGCAATGCAGGACGGCCTTGGTCAACTGGAGAAAGTTAGCTCTCATCCAGGACTTGATGACTGACAGACATTCTGTGAGTACCGCAGTGATCCTGGAGTCGAGGTGGAGGTGGAGTTGGGTGTCATCACATACATGTGGGAGTTGACTCCATGTCTGTGGATGATATCACCAAGAGGGATCTATACTGATTTTGAGGACATTTTGGCTCATCCAGGCCTTGATATCTCACAATCAACTGGACAGATCATCAGGGACCTGAGGTCGAGAGTAAATTTGGGGTCATCCACATCCATGTGGGAATTAAGTCCATGTCTGTGGATGATGTTGAGGGACAAAGTGACTGTGTTGGCCAGTAGTGGGCAGAGGAAGGGCAATTGGGTGGTCAGGAGATGGGTGGGGAGGGAGTTGAGGGAGCAGGTGGTGAGCTTTATGTTATGAGAAGGAAGATGTGGTCGGGTGTATTTTGTTGATTTTTGTTGTTGAACGTGAAAGGCGCAATATAAATGTCATTTTGTTGTTATTATTCTCTATTGTCTCTCACACATAAAGAGAAGTTGTGGGATAAAAGGCTGGAAATGTTAATCAGAATGTGTCTTGTCGTTTCCAAACTGTAGAAGGATTTGCTCACACAGAGGGATGTGAAGATGTAGAATTCTTTGCCCCAGAAATCTGTGGAGAAGGAATCAATGTGAATGTTTAAATGAGAGACAGAGACTCAGATAGTAGAAATATTTGGTGAAGAGCAGGGAATTGGATTTATAAGATTAAAATTGGTGGAATAGACTCATGGGCTGAATTGTCTCCTCCTGTTCCTCTTTTCCTTTACTAAAAGCTGATGTCAATTAGAAGTTACCTAAAGCAGAGCCTTTAGTGCACTGTTATTTTCACTAATATTTAATAAAATATTGTATTAACATTTCTGCTGGATTGTTTCTGTTACATTTAAGGGAAATGTCCTACAGTTTATTGATGAGGACAACACTGACGATTGTGTTTTTATTTTCCAGTTTATGAAAATCTAAAAAAGGGATTTAAAAATCTGGGTAAGTAACAACATTACAAACATCCCCGAGCCTCAGCCTCCCCGAGAGTCAGGTCCTCGGAGACCTGCCACAAGCCCTTCCTGTGCTCTCTGGTGACCTCAGCATTTATATACATAACACACCCAGACACATGCACACACACACTCAGACACATGTGCACACACACACAGACACATGCACACACACGAATGTGCACACACACACAGAGTCACAGAACAACCTAAACTAAACCCATCTCCTGTGGAGTGAAGAAATGTGTGATGATTCTGTGCAGATGAGGAGAATCTCATGGTGTTTGACTGTAGAGAGAAAGTGAAACTTACACTTTAACACAAATTAAATCATTCTGATACAATGAGGGAAATAAAAAACATGATGTAAATGAGTCTCTGAATGAGATTCCACTCAGTTAGATTCTGTTCCAAAATATTTAACTTTTACATCTGTGACCTGAAATAATTTACATTGATATAACTGCCTCCATGCGCTGGGTCAGGGTGAAAGGGGAGGTGACCGTACACTCGGTTAAAGAGGAAGGTCTTCAGGTGCGATGAAGATGGTCAAAGAGGGGGGAGTGAGATGGAGGGATTGAGACAGGGAGTTCTGTGTGTTTGGTGGTAAGTGGTTGAAGACATGGCCACCAATGGTGGGGCGGAGGGGAGTCAGGGATGAGCAGAAAGCCAGAGCAGCCCAAATAAAGGGGTGGGTAGAGGAGTGGGGTGTGAGCAGGTCGGAGAGGTAGGGAGGTGCTGGACATGAGGTGATTTGTCAGTGAGTGTGAGGATGGAGTGGGGGTTGGAGTTTGTTGTGGGTAATGTACCAAATGTTAAGGATTATTAATATTATCATTATTCACTTATTGAGATTGTAAATGTTTAATCAGTTTTATCAGTTTCTGCAGTGCAAAAAATCCCCATTTTTAATGTGAATTATAACACAAATTGTGAAATAAAAATAGATTAAGAAAATCTTATATTTTCGGTTTGTTTACTGATTTCACTTCCTTCATTTGATGTGAGCACATATCCTCCTATCACAGTGAGTTTGGAAAGTTTGGGCTTAAAGGAAAATAAAGAAACTGAATAAAATAAACCAGATAAGTTTGTTAACTTTTTTTCAAAAATTTCAAAATACATTTTCTAAAACCTTTTCTTTTGTTTTAAAGATAATGAACTGAAATCTGCCAAACAAGGTACAGTACATTGTGTTATTGGCACTAAGTGTTTATGATGGAATTCCATCAGTGATGATGTCCCATAAGTGAATCAATCAATGACAACTGACTTCAACATTCAAACCGTCTTCACTCAATGGCTTTCAGTCTCGTGAGAAACTTTACATTGTTTATTAATATTTGTTTCTTTCTTTAGACCAAAAATACATGAAAAAAACACTGGGTAAGTTTTAATCTCCTGGAGCGTAAAATAAGTTTCCTTCTCATCGCGCCTCCCCTTGTTTTAAAGGATGATTCTGGGAAGGGTCAGTGGGAAAGGGGGTTAGTGATAATTTTGGATAATGATAAGCTGTGAGGTTTCAGCACGAAAAACATGAGCAATTCCCCTCAATCCATCCTCTGTGGACCACAAGCCTTGCTTCTGGCCAATCCATGTCTAAACATTAGTAAACCCAGGAGCATGGCGCTGGGGAGAGGGTTCATTCTATATCAGACACGGAAACTCTACATACAGTATGTGGATCTCTGAGTAGTTTGGTTTGGAGACTCTTAACGCCAGTGATGGGTTTGTGTGTGTGTCAGACTCTGACCAAAACTAAGTCCATGTGTTTTTTTTAATTGGTGAAAACAAACTCTGATTGGGATTTGGTGAGATCCTGAAGCCTCAGTGGTGAAGGGTTGTTTATCAGCTGAATCACAAGACTGTGAATAGGTTCAGTGTGTAACAGTGGGGGGTGATTTGTGGAAATAAACAATCAATAAATATATTGTTTCCTTTCAGAACTGAAAAAACAATTCACCAAATCAGGTACTTGATGGCTTTATCCTCATTTACTGTTGTTGATGTTATTGATGTAGAATTGTGCTGCTTCTCAAAGGATCAATTATTATCACCTCTGATAAAGCTAATAAATTAAATGTAAGAAATACGATTATATTAAGATTATAAGCAAAGTTTGACGTGAACTTTCAATGTACAGTTCAGTCATCTCACATCTACAAATGTGATCAGTTTGTCAGACTCTGTAACCTGGAGTGATCTGAACCCAGATATTGAGTTACACCGATAGATTACAGTAGAACAGAAGAAATGCTGGAGGAGAAAAGCCCAATATCCATCCAGTTTGCCTTCCACCTTCCTGGCAGTCACATGCAAATGTGTCCCAAACTACCTCTGTACTATATCCCATAATGTTATTTCCTAAAATAACATTTCTAATCTGTGTTTGAAAGAATCTACTCAATAATAATAATCTTTGCATTTGATATAGTGCTTTTCACATCTTTTAGACATCTCAAAGCGCTTCACACAATATACAGTAAAGTGAATTTACTGTATATTTGTGAGCGAAATGCTGCAGTCGATTGCGCACAGCAGCGTCCCCCAAACAGTCGAGGATTGAAGTGACCAATTTATTATTATTTTCCTTTCTGGAGGGATTATTATGAGGTGTGTGGAGTAAGGAAACTTGCCCATGGTTTTTCCCTGTGGGAATTGAACCCAGGTTTCTCGCTTGCAAGGGGAGTGCTCCAACCACTGAGCTACAGGACTCCACAGGATCATTGGTGAAATCATACTCTTAGTACAGTCTCACCAATGACTTACAAAGTGACCCGATTACCCCACTATTTCCATTTGCTATTGATCTTTTGATACATCCCAACAACAGATTGTCAGAAATAACATATTGAAGTTTACAAAAGATGAAATTATAAGCAAAATCTTATTAAATTAAAACTTCTGTTTCTTTCCAGAGTGGGAGGTCGTTGGCAGTTGTAAATGTAAGTTACCTCACATTACAGGCAAGTTATACACCCCACATTACAGGCTGGTTATAGACCCCACATTACAGGCTGGTTATACACCCCACATTACAGGCTGGTTATAGAGATCCTACATTACAGGCTGGTTATAGACCCCACATTACAGGCTGGTTAGTACATTGTCAGTGTGCAGAGGAAGTTGCTCTTGTTGACGATGTGTAGAAATTATCAGCAAAATGCAGGTTCATAAAGTGATTAACAAAATATCGCTCATAACCTAATTTTCAGTCTAGTTTTCAGTTGCGTAAAGTGTAGATGTGTATCCCAATAAATACCGTATGTGTGACAGGATGGGGTGGGTGTAGCAGAGACTGTTGTGTCAAGTGGACTCACCATTGCGAGTTGTGTTAGTGACACCCTGATAATGAGCTCCTGAGCCCAGCTGATAAACTTGTGTTTTCTCTCAGGCTGCAAGGATCTTCTCGTGGGGTTTGGTAAGAGACTTGATTTAATACAATGCTTCATCACTTCGTTGAGACGTCTCAAAGCGCTTCACAGAATATACTGCAAGGAGAATTGACTATATTTTCTGGGCAAATCGCGGCTGCTAATTTCACACAGACTGCAGTGTCCCACAAACAGTCATGGATAAATGACGAAATTACTATTTTGGGGGAAAAAATTATTACCCCCAGAAAGGGATCCATTAATCGATTAATGATTGGGTTCCTACTTCCTGCGAGGTAAACAGAGGCAAGTGGAGTAAGGAAACTTGCCCAACGTTTCACACTGCCAGGAATCAAACCCAGTTCCTCTCTTTCTTCCAAGGTGAGAGCTCTAACCACTGAGCTACACGACTCTGGAATATTAATGCAATAAAGAAAATGATTGTGTAATGACGCATAAACACAACTGTATAAAACAATCTCAATTGAACAAATTGATTCTAACAAAATTTTCTTTCATTTCCAGTCAAGGCCAGAATCCACAGTTATGCAGGTAAGACATTAATATAAGACATTAATGACACAATTCAGAACTGCTCAGATCCCACCCCAGATTTAGCACAAAGATGTACAGACAGAAGGTCCCAGCCTGGTCTGTGCTGAGGTATCTGATCTCAGCCGGGGAGGGAGGGGCCTCTACACATGGCCTCAGGGCCCGGATATGGATAGACAATAAGCCAAAGTCACTGTTCCTCATCACATTCAGGGAGTCCCCCCCCTCTCCCATCCCAGCCTTTCTGTAAATCCCGGGTGAGGAGAGGACCAGGCTGTGATGCCCTCAATGGTTGAAGTCCTGTAGCTCAGTGGTTATAGCACTCGCTTTGCAAGCGAGAGACCTGAGTTCATTTCCAGGCAGAGGGCGAAACCTTGGGCAAGTTTCCTTACTCCACACAGAGCCTAATAATAATCCCTCCAAAAAAACCAAAAAAAAACAATAATTTTTAATTTTTCTCCTGCCCAACACCTTCAGCACCCATCCCCTATTTGGATGCCAAGCCAGTAATAGCACCTTGGAATACCCTCCCCGATTATAGGCGCTGTAGATACGTAAATTTATATATTTTTTTAACTAAGGCGGCTGATTTTCTCACTGTGTGCTCCCACAAGAGATAGACAGAATTTGTGGAATGCAGAGCATACCCTTTCAAAAATATTTATTTTGCAGTCATACTAAGGGTTTGAGAGCTGCTAACATACATTTTTAACGTGGTTACATTTCTCAGTCAAACTTATGCAACCAAGGTAAAATTACTTTCTAAATTATAGGCCACAGCATATCAAATTGACAACATAATATCCATACCCTTTGTCTTATATCCAGCAAATTTCAGAAAAATCTGAGATTCATCTAAATTTTGAAGCCCCATAACAGTTACCCAATACACATATTGTGCTGGCTACTTATTGCATTAATGTAGGCATTAATCTAAGCATGGCAGTTAATTTGATTTAAAATACATTCCTAATAATAATAATAATAATCCTTACATTTGATACAGCGTCTTATCAGATATCTCAAAACGCTTCACAGATCATATTGTAAACTGAATTGACTGCATATCTTTTGGACAAAAAGTAGTTAGGATTTGCCTAAAATGCAGCCTTATCTAGAATTTGAACCCGGGATCTCTCAGACGTTTATTCAGTTGCTGACTCCAAAGCAAGAATAAGACCTGAGACCAAAGAAGCACATGTGCAGACACCTACAACCTCAACTGATGAAATTGGCGATACCAGAAATGTCAGGTTCCTTGTGGATTTTATAAAGAAATCATGATTTTCATTATCGAATTGCCAAGGCAAAAATCAAACAGTGCTCTACGTTCACTAATTTGTGTGTCAGCGAGGCTACAAGCGGCAGTTAATTAGAGATATCGTTAGTAAAACAAATTACTTCACAAATAAAATGTGGCATGATTATAGCCAAAGTGTTGGTTAGTTTCCTGGAGCATTTTAATGTGAACTCTAATGCCAGTCAAGCTCAGATAACAGAAATCTGGTGCTCATAGAATCATAGAATTTTACAGCAGAAGGAGGCCATTCAGCCCATCGTGCCTGTGCTGGTTCTTTGAACAGAGCTGTCCAATTCAATCCCACTCCCCCGCTCTTTCCACGTAGCTCTACAAACTTGGAGTCCTGTAGCTCAGTGGTTAGAGCACTTGCTTTGCAAGTGAGAGACCTGAGTTCAATTCCAGGCAGAGGGCGAAACCTTGTGCAAGTTTCCTTACTCCACACACCTAATGATAATCCCTCCAAAACCCCAAACAATAATAAAATTGGTCATTTTCAATCTACGACTGTTTGTGGGACATTGCTGTGCGCAATTGGCTGCCGCGTTTGCCCACAAATATACAGTCAATTCACTTTACACTGTGTTCTGTGAAGCGCTTCGGGACTTCGAGAAGACGTGAAAAGCACTATATCAAATGCAAGGATTATTATTATTATTAATAACCAACCAACACTGGCTGTCTAGACTCTCACATGAACAAGTCACTTGAGCTACAGAACAGACACAATGAATGTCAGCACTGAGCCCGACTCCTGCTCATCGCCCTCTGCACGGTCACTAAAGCTGTGATGCCATGTTGAGGTTGTAGAGATGTCAGTCCAATCCTGTGCCCCAGGCGCTGGGCACAACAGCTGTTAGTGTGTGGCTGGAGAATGGTATGTGACTGTACCTGTGGAAGGTACTGATAGACCAAATACTACATACACTGTTACTGCATTTACTACATTACATGGTGTCATCCACACTGTCACCTGTCGTAAAATACTCACTGTATATTGTGTGAAGGAATCGGATTACTGACCAATAGCAGTCAGTTGTCATGACTGGATGCTCATGTGATGTCCTCGTGTGAGTCCCTCTTGACTCAGGACATCAGTGTGTTTTAACTAACGGTGACCACATTATGGTGACATGGTGTTTGCCCACAGCAAACTCTGATCTTGTTGTCTGATCAGCAGCCCATATATTAATATAAAACTGACCCCCCTCCCCCCCGATCAATAAACCTGTCCACTCAGTTTCAAGATCTAGATTAGTCCACATCGTCTCTCCCAGATCTGTTTGATTTACTGCAACCAGACCACGCCCAGACCCCACCCACACCACACCCAGACCTCACCTGCACCATTCCCAGATCATACCCAGACCTCATCCAGACCCCACCCAGACCTCACATATACCGCACCCAAATCACACCCAGACCTTACCTACGCCATACACAGATCATACCCAGATCTCACCTGCACCAAACCTATACCACCCAAACCACAACTACACCACACCCAGACCTCATACAGACCGCACAGCTACATGTCTTAATGATAACAGCTGACAACATTCTGCTTTCTTACAGGTTATGAGGAGGTTCTCACAGAATTAGGTAAGGTATTTGGGTCAGTTTGATAAAGAGCCATTCTGTCACTCCCCTTTCCCCAAATAAATGTTAAAATATATTAATGGGGAGGGGGAGCGAGGAGGGGAATATAAAGCAGTTTGGGGAACAGAGAAAATGTGACTGGCAAAACCGTATAAAACCATTCCTCATCAAATAAATCTATACCAACCGAACTTCCTTTATTTTACAGAAAAGACCCAATTTGGGTTGTACAGAAGTTATGCAGGTAAGATATTTAATATCATATAAAGTGTGAAATTCGGAAATCCTTGACAGATCACAGGATAAAAATCTGTATCTGCCACCTGCCTGCCCACCGTGCGATCCTATCAGTGCACTCTCACAGAGGTAGGAAGGAGCAAAGCCGTGGAGGGCTTTGAAGGTGAAGATGAGATTTTTGAACTCTTTCCTGTGGAGGATGGGGAGCCAGTGGAGCCGGGCGAGGGTGGGGGTGACAGGGTCATGGAAACTGGTTTGGGAGAGGACACAAGCTGCAGAATTCTGGATGATACCCCTCCACATAGACCCTCACACCCCCACCCCCACACACACAATCTCACCCTCTCCCATAAAAACATACACTCACATCCCCCACACACATCCTCACCTCCCCCTCCACACACACACACCTTCACCTGCCCCTCAGACACATCCTGACAAACAACAACTTGGATTTATATAGTGCCCTCCATGCCGGATGGCGTCTCAGAGAGCTTCACAGTAACAGATCCTGGTGTCGAGCGTGGGGGAAGAAGGTGACCAAAGGCACGGTCGAAAAGAAAGGTCTTTAGCCAAGACCTGAAAGCAGGAAGGGAGGGGACAAGGCGAAGGGAGTGAGGAAGGGAGTTCCAGAGCCTCGGGGCATAGTGGCTGGCAGTCTGGCAAGGATTGGGGTAATCGGGGAGCGGAGTTTGGTGCGACTAATAATAATAATAATATAATCCTTGCCTTTGATATAGCGCTTTTCACGTCGGGAGGACGTCCCAAAGCGCTTCACAGAACACACTGTAAAGTGAATTGACTGTATATTTGTGGGCGAACACGGCAGCCAATTGTGCACAGCAGTGTCCCACAAACAGTCGTAGATTGAATATGACCAATTTATTATTGTTTTTTTTTTGTTTTTTTTGGAGGGATTATTATTAGGCGCTGTGTGGAGTAAGGAAACTTGCCCAAGGTTTCGCCCACTGCCTGGAAATGAATTCAGGTCTCTCGCTTGCAAAGCGAGTGCTCTCACCACTGAGCTACAGGACTCCACTGTAAGGAAGTGGGCGGCAGAATTCTGGATGACCTGGATTTTATGAATAGTAATGGAGGGGAGACCGACGAGGAGGGCATTTGAATAGTTCAGCAGAGAGGTGACAAAGGCATGGACCAGGGTTTCAGCGGCGTTTGGGGTGAGATATTGGTGGAGACGGACGATGCGTCGGAGGTGGAAGAAAGCGGTGCTGGTGTGGGGGATGGTTTGGAGAGTTCTAGTGGCTGGTCGGGTAGGTGGAGTAGGTGGGAACCGTGCCATTTAAGACATTGATGAGAGCCAAAGAGTATGGCTTCTGTCTTGTCAACATTTAGCTAAAGGAAATTCGTGCTCATCCAGCTCTTGAGGGCTGACAGGCAGCTGACAGAACATTAGGGGACTGGGGATCGCAAAGTGAGGTGGAAAAATAGAATTGGGTGTCGTCCGCATACATGTGGGAGTGTATTCCATCTCTGCAGATGACATCTCCAAGAGGGAGCATATAGATTAGGGAGAGGGCCAAGGATGGATCCTTGGGGTACCCCACAGGTAACCGGATGAGAGCGGGAGGAAAAGCCATTTGTGCAGATGTACTGCTGGAAGTTCGTGAGGTAGGACTCGAACCAGGAGAGTGCGGTCACACTGAGATGGATGGCGGAGGAAAGGCGGTGGAGAGGATGGTGTGATCAACTGTGTCAAAGGCAGCAGAGAGGTCCAGAAGGACAAGGAGGCAGAGGGAGCCCTGGTCACAGACAGAGAGGATGTCATTTGAGACTTTCACAAGCGCAGTCTCTGTACTATGGACAGGGCAGAAACCGGCAGGAAGAGGTTCGAAAAGGGAGTGGGAGGAGAGGTGTGCGCGGAGTTGATTGGCAACAATGCATTCTCGGACTTTGGCAGAGAAGGGCAAGTTTGAAACAGGGCGGTAGTGGCTGGGGTTTGAGGCATGTAGGGAAGGTTTTTTGAGGAGGGGGATGATGACAGCAGTTTTGAGGGAGGCAGGGACTGATCCAGTGGAGAGGGACTGTTTGATGACATCAGCCAGTAGTGGGCAGAGGAGGGGGAGTTGGGTGACCAGCAAGTTGGTGGGGAGGTGGTCAAGGCAGCAGGAAAGAGAGATGGGGAGGAAGGAATGTAGGATAGGGGTCACGGTAGGAGCTGATGATGGGGAGGGGAAGGGGGATGGAGAGGAGGTAGTGGTGGGTGACCAGAGGCAGGAGGATGAGGCTGCCGGCCGGATATTATTTATTTTAGTTGAAAAGAAGTCCATGATCTCATCACACTTGGCATTTGATGTGAAGATTGAGGAGGCCTGAGGGGGCGCACGGAGGAGGTAGTGGGTGGTGGAAAAAAGGACTTTGGGATTGTTTTTTTGCCTCCAAGATGATGTTGGAGTAGACGGCCGTTTTTGCACACGTCAAAGAATGGCGTTATCTGTGGAGATGCTCGAGCCACAGTTGGTGGTGAACTCTCAGGGCAGTTTTCTGACATCTGCATTCGAGCAGCCGGGTTTGGTTTTTTAGGAGTGGAGATGATGGTTATACCGGGGGATCGAGTGGGTTTGGTGATGGTCCTGGATTTCAGGGGGATGTGATAGTTGAAGGTGAAGGAGACGATCATGGAGCAGCTGGATGGAAGGAGCCAGAGGGCTTAGGGGGGTGGTAGACCAGAAAGATTTTCAGTGGGAGAGAGGGATGGAAGAGGGTGAGGTGCTCAAAAGAGGGGAAGCAGCCAGAGGGATTTGGGGAAAGACCAAGGGAAGCTTTGGAGATGAGGACCACCCCACTGCCACGTTGGCTTGGACGGGGGATGTGGTGGAAGGTGTAGCCTGGAGGGGTTGCTTAGACTAGAGGGATGGGGTCATTGGGGGAGAGCCAGGTTTCTGTGAGCCCAAGAATGTTCAGGTGCTCATCCAGGATGAGGTAATGGATGGTGAGGGGTTTGTTTGTGAGGGAACGGACATTTTGAAGGGAAATGCGGTGGGTTTGCTGGTGGGAGGAGAGGGAGGAGAGTGATACGGAAAGGATTTGAGGATATACAGGAGAGATGGCTGTGGAGTGTGGGGGGAGTGGAGAGTTGGGGAGGGTACGCATGAGGGAGGGGGACGTTGTGGTTGCCATAAGGAGGCGGTTTGTGTGGAGGGAGTGAATGATGGGACACTTGGGGTCGCTGCTCTGGGACAGCCAGTGCCTGGAGCCACGATGGGCCCGGCGGAGGCTGCCCAGGCTGGAGCAGAGGGAGGTGGTGATGGGGTCCAGGAGAGAGAGGTGGGGGGGGGGGGTGGGAGAGAAGGACAGAGTGGGAGTAGGGATACAGAGGTTGGGAGGAGAGGCATTTAGAGTGGAGGGAGAGGCTCGGGTCGGGGCGGCAGCCAAAACGTGCGCACAGAGACCGGGAGCGAGCGATCAGTGGGACGGCATCAGCCCACAGGCTGTGTGGTCACGGCTAAGATGTCAGTGACAGGGGCGGCCACGACATTTTCTCCTGAACCACTTTCACTGTGGATTAGTTTCTTTTAGCTTTTCTAAGTGTTAGTGTTGGTGTCAGTGCTGTTAGTGTTAGTGTTGGTGTCAGTGCTGTTAGTGTTAGTGTTGGTGTCAGTGCTGTTAGTGTTAGTGTTGGTGTCAGTGCTGTTAGTGTTAGTGTTGGTGTCAGTGCTGTTAGTGTTAGTGTTGGTGTCAGTGCTGTTAGTGTTAGTGTTGGTGTCAGTGCTGTTAGTGTTAGTGTTAGTGTTGGTGTCAGTGCTGTTAGTGTTAGTGTTGGTGTCAGTGCTGTTAGTGTTAGTGTTGGTGTCAGTGCTGTTAGTGTTGGTGTCAGTGCTGTTAGTGTTAGTGTTGGTGTCAGTGCTGTTAGTGTTGGTGTCAGTGCTGTTAGTGTTGGTGTCAGTGCTGTTAGTGTTGGTGTCAGTGCTGTTAGTGTTAGTGTTGGTGTCAGTGCTGTTAGTGTTAGTGTTGGTGTCAGTGCTGTTAGTGTTAGTGTTGGTGTCAGTGCTGTTAGTGTTGGTGTCAGTGCTGTTAGTGTTAGTGTTGGTGTCAGTGCTGTTTGTGTTGGTGTCAGTGCTGTTAGTGTTAGTGTTGGTGTCAGTGCTGTTAGTGTTGGTGTCAGTGCTGTTAGTGTTAGTGTTGGTGTCAGTGCTGTTAGTGTTAGTGTTGGTGTCAGTGCTGTTAGTGTTAGTGTTGGTGTCAGTGCTGTTAGTGTTAGCGTTGGTCTCAGTGCTGTTAGTGTTAGTGTTGGTGTCAGTGCTGTTAGTGTTGGTGATTCTGTGTTAGTTTTGATTGTTTGATTATGATGTGAAGCCGACGTCACTTTTTGTAACTCTGCGGTTCCCCTGTGACCCCCTCACGTCGCGGCTTTATACCCACTGCTCGGCCTCGGCTCCGCCCCGCGCTCTCCTGACTCCACTCCACACCCTCACATCCCCCACAGACACAATCACATACCCCGATAGACACACACTCACATCATCCCCCACAGACACACTCACACACACCCCACACACCATCACATGCCCCAACAGACACACCCTCAGCCCCCGACCCACACACTGACACACCGCCCCACACATCCCCACATCTCCCCCCACAGACACACTCACATCCCTCGAACACACTCACACCACACCCCACACACACCTTCACAACAGCCCCCGAAACACACTCTCATACCATCCCAACACACACCCTCACATCCCCTCCACACACACCCTCACATTCCCCTCATGCACAGATACACACAAACCCCCAAACGCACAGCCTCTCATCTCCCCCAAACACACCCTCACATATGTCCCCACACACACCCTCACATAGCCCCACACAACCACACCCTCACATCCCTCTCACAGACACTCGCTCAGACCCTTCACACATCCTCACACCCCACCCAATCTCACATCCCCTACGCACACCCTCACATTCCCCCCCACACACCCTCGCACATCCCCCGACCCACACACACCGTCACACCACCCCCACACACACCCTCACATC